ATCTGACTCGTACTAGGCAGTGGTTTTGGAGAAGAGTACTGAATATTCTATGGACTGCCAAGAGAACAAACAGTTGAGTTTTGGAGAAAGAGCAGCTAGAGTGCTCCTTGGAAGCAAAGATTACAAAGTGTCATCTTATGTATACTTTGGGCATGTAAGTTAGGAGACAAAATGTTCCTTGGAAAGGGACATCATAAAATGGGAGTGTTACTTCTGTAGGTAAAGTTTAAGTAAAAATGGTCATAAATCGTCTCTAATGTTTGGTAAAGTTCAGGTGTGAAATTATCCAGTCTGGACTTTTCTTATGGAGAACTTTTTGTATGACTGTTCTTTTCTAATGGGTCTGTTCAAATGTTCCACATCTGTTTGGGTCATTCTGGGGAGGGCATGAGTATGAAAGAATTTATCCATTTCCTCTAGGTTTTCAAGTGTATCAGAGTATAGCTTTTCATAGTATTCTGATATTATTGATCTAATTTCATCTAGTTCAGTTGTGATGTCACCTCTATCATTTCTTAATCGAGTTATCTGTCCTCTCTTAAGTTTGCCAGTGGTTACCCTTTTGAAAAACCAGCTCCTTGGGGAGCTCTGGTGGCCTAGTGGCAAAAAGCTGTACTGCAATCCCAGAGATAACACGATTCAAATCCACCAGATCCTCTGCGGGAGAAGGAGGGACAATTTTCTCCTGTACCTGTCAGATCTGATTTGACGGTACAATCACAAAAAATAATAATTGGGGAAAAAAAATAAAATTTGAAAAAAAAAAAAACAAACTAAAAAACAAGCAAAAAAAAAATAAACCAAACCCAGCTCTTTATCTTATTGACTGTTTCAATTGTTTTTAAATTCTCATTGATTACAGCTCTTGTTCTTGTCCTTTCCTTCTATCGGATTAGATAGTTGCTCTTTTTCTATTTGTGGAAGGTGTTGAGTTAGATCATTGATTCTTCAGCTTTCTTCCTTTTTTATGTGTGTGCCTATTGCTATGAACTGTCCCCCCCTCCCAAGACTGCCTTAGCTGCATCCCAGAGGTTTTGATAGTTATATTTTCATTATCATTTGTTTCAAGAAACTTTTTTATTCCATTCTTTATTTCTTTTATAATCCAACCATATGCTGTCAGAGAGTTATGTAGCTTCCACATGGGTGGTTTTGTAAGCTTTACCCTCCTGTGTTTAATTTCTAGTTTTATGGCATTGTGGTCCAAGAAGATACTTTGCATTATTTCAGTGTTTTCTGATTTGTTAATGCTTACTTTGTGTCCTAATATGTGATCAATTCTGGATAATGTACCATGTGAGCTTGAGAAGAAAGTAAATTGAGTTTTTGTTGAGTGCAGTACCCTTAATATATCCATAAGGTTAAGTTGGCTGGTTGTATAGTTTAGATCTTCTATATCTTTATACAGTTTCTTTTTAATTGACCAATCTTTTGGTGATTGTGGTGTATTGAAGTCTCCTATCACTATTGTGGTGCTGATTATTTTTTCAGTTCTGTGAAACGTTGGTGCACATGACGGCAAAATGTGTTAAAGTGTGTGGCAACGTGTTAACTGTTTTGTGTATTTTGCAGATCAGTCATTTGATGCATAAATGTTGACTGAGATTATGTCTTCTTGATCTATTCTGCCTTAATCAGGATGCAATGCCCTTCCTTATCATTAATGATGATTGTCATTCTGAGTTCTATTTTGTCAGAGATTAATATTGCCACTCCTACTTTTTTGTGGTTGCCATTTGCTTGGTATATTCCCCCCCCCCAGCCTTTGATTTTGAGTCGGTCTAGCTCTTCATTTTTCAGATGTGTCTCTTGTAGGCAATATATTGATGGACATTGTTTTTTTTAATCCATTCCACTACTTTTCTCCTCTTAATTGGTGCATTTAGTCCATTCAGATTGTGATTATTATCAGGCAAGGTTTTACTGCTTGCCATTGTGCCATGTTTCTTTTTCTGATGTTTCTGGTTACTGTGGTCCACCCATTTTCTTTGACATCTCAGTGTGAGGACTTCTCTTAGAATTTCTTGTATTTTTGGTCTTGTTTTCACAAATTCCTTACGTTCCATATTTTCTGCAAAAGATCTAATTTCTCCTTCATATTTGATGGAGAGCTTTGATGGATATAGGATCCTTGGCTGGCAATTATTTTCTTTCAACTTTCTGTATATACCATCTCATTGTCTTTTAGCTCGCTTAGTTTCTGCTGAGAAATCAGGACCTAATCCAGTTGTTTCTCCTTTGCAGGTGACTCTTTGTTTTTCTCATGCTACTTTTAGTATTTGGTCTTATCTTTTAATTTGGAGAATTTGACTATAACATAGATGTCTTGATGTTTTTCTTTGAGTCTAGTCTGTTTGGTGTTCTTTGTGCTTCTTGAGTATGGATTTCCCTGTTCTTCAGAATAACCTGGAAAGTTTTCTTCTAGTACTTCTTCCACTATTTTCTCACAGTGATTTCCCTGTTATTCCCAAATTCTAAAATTCCAGTCATACATATGTTGTCCTTTAGATGTCATCTTACATGAATCTAATGTTTTCTTCATTTTCTTTACATCTCATCTCTGATTTTTCCTCTAGAATGTTTCCAGTGAGACTCTTGTCTTCCAGCTCACTGACTCTCTGTTCCATCTCTTCAATTCTCCTTTTTTTGTCCCACCATTGTGTTGGACACTTCTGCCATTTTAGACTTCATATTCTGGATTGCATTTTCATGCTTTTCTGTTATTTCCAGCACAGTGTTGGCTGCACTCTCTCTGTCTTGTGATGATTTTTTAAGTTCGTGTACCTCTTTATCTATACTACTAATTCTTTATTCCATTTTTGCATTTCTTCCATAAAGTTGCTTCTCATCAATATATTTCTTTGGATCACTGTCTCTAGGGTATTTTCTCTCTTAATGGCTTCCATTGGTTCTTTCATTATTTGTATCTTCTGTAGCTGTTGACATAACCCATCAACATATTTCTTCATATTCTCTCTATCTGGGGGTATTCATTGGGTCTGCTCTTTATAGGAGAAGAGTTATTTTGGTGTTTTTTTTTCATAATGATGAGGCTGACTGCGGCTTTCCTGACATTATGTGAGTCATTTTTTAGTAGATGTTAGGTTATATATATATATATAACTATATAATGTCCCAGGATATGGCAATGTTTTGTGAAGAACCTATATATTTGTACTCCCCTCTTGTATTCCTGACATG